AAGAAAAACTGGACAGCCTCCTCAAAACCTTCTACGCGATCGCGAGACTCCCTACACGATCGCGAAGGGAAAAATCCTGCAACAGCTGAACTTGCAATTTTCTGCAATTTCTCAACTTCAAAATGATTCGAATGACCACCCGAAACTCACCCGAGGCCCCCGGGACCCCAACCAAAGGCACCAACATATCCTAAAACCTTATTCAAACTTGTTCCAATCACCAAAACACCTCAAACAACATTGAATCACCCAAAACACATCTGATTCAAGCCAAACTTTCAAATATCTTCCGAATTATTCTTTTGATCAAAAACCCAACCAAAACACGTCCGAATGACCTGAAATATTGCACGCACATCCAAAATGACACAACAGAATTATTGCAACTCTCAGAATTCCATTCAAACCCCTATATCAAAATCTCGCCTACCAATCGGAAAGCGCCAAAATATCAACCTCACCAATTCAAGCCTAAACCTTTTACAAACTTCCAAAACCCATTCCGATCACGCTCCTAAGTCATAAATCACCCCCGAAGCTAACCGAACCATAGGAACTCACATCCGAGTCCTCTAACACATAAGTCAACATCCGGTTGATTTTTCCAACTTAAACTCACTCTAAAGAGACTAATTGTTTCAAACCTTGCCAAATCCTTTCCGGATTCGATCTGATCAACCCGATACCACAAAACACGGATAACGAAGAATAAAGAAGCAGAAATGGAGGGAACGGAGCGATAACTCATGAGATGACTGACCGGGTTGTCACATCCTCCCCAACTTAAACAAACGTTTGTCCTCGAACGAGTCAAGAAACATACCTGAAGCCTCAAACAGGTGAGGATATCTGCTCCGCATCTCCCCCTCAGTCTCCTAGGTAGCCTCCTCCATGGGCCGACCTCTCCACTGCACTTTTACTGAAGCTATATCCTTTGACCTCAACTTACGAACCTGACGATCCAAAATAGCTACTGGCTCCACATCATAGGTCAAATCATCATCAAAATGAACCATGCTGAAATCCAGAACATGAGACGGATCCCCAAGATACTTTCAGAGCATAGAAACATGAAATACCGGATGCACACTAGACAAGCTGGGTGGCAAAGCAAGCTCATAAGCCACCTCCTCAATCCTCCGAAGCACCTCAAAAGGCCCAATGAACCGCAGACTCAATTTCTCTTTCTTCCCAAATCTCATAACACTCTTCATGGGTGAAACCTTCGACAAAACTTCTCGCCAACCATGTAGGACACATATCGAACCTTCCTATCAGCATAACTCTTTTGCCTCGACTGCGCTATACGAAGCCTCTCCTGAATCACCTTCTCCAAAGCATCCTGCACCAAATCAGCCCCTAATAGCCTAGCCTCACTAGGCTCGAACCAACAACCTGGAGATTTACACCGCCTCCCATACAAAGCCTCATATGGAGCCATTTGAATACTCGACTGGTAGCTGTTGTTATAAGCAAACTCTGCAAGCGATAGAAACTCATTCGATGATCCTACGAAATCAATGACACAAGCACGCAACATGTCCTCCAATATCTGAATAGTGCGCTCGGACTGCCCGTCCGTCTGAGGATGAAAAGTTGTGCTCAACTCCACCTGAGTACCCAACTCTCTCTGCACGGCCCTCCAAAACTGCAAGGTGAACTGAGTACCTCTATCTGAAATGATGGAAACCGGAACACCATGCAAGCGAAAAATCTCTCGAATATATCCCTGCCAACCGCTCTGAAGAATAGGTAGTACACACAGGAATGAAGTGCGCGGACTTGGTTAGCCAATCCACAATCTCCCAAATCGCATCAAACTTTCTCAAAGTCCGTGGAAGTCCAACAACAAAGTCCATAATGATCCTCTCCCACTTCCACTCGGGAATAACCATCTGCTGAAGCAAGCCACTCGGTCTTTGATACTCATATTTTACCTACTGACAATTGAGACACCAAGCTACAAATCCCACAATATACTTCTTCATTCTTATCCACCAGTAGTGCTGCCTCAAATCCTGATACATCTTCGCAGCACCCGGATAAATGGAACACTGCGAGCTATGGGCCTCCTCCAGAATCAACTCCCGAAGCCCATCCACGTTGGGCACACAAATCTGGCCCTACATCCTCAATACCCCCATCATCACCAATGGTCACATCCCTAGCATCATCATGCTAAACTCTGTACCTAAGGACAAGCAAATGCGGATCATCATACTGACGCTCTCTGATGCGATCATATAAGGAAGACCGAGAAACCACACAAGCCAATACCCGACTGGGCTCCGAAATATCTAACCTCACGAACTGATTGGCCAAGGCCTGAACATCAACTGCAAGAGGTCTCTCTCTAACTGGGATATATGTCAAACTCCCCAAAGTCATTGCCTTTCGGCTCAAAGCATCAGACACCACATTGGCCTTTCCCGGATGGTACAATATAGTTAATCATAATCCTTAAGCAACTCCAACCATCTTCGCTGCCTCAAATTAAGAT